TAGGTTCATAAAGTAATTCAAGAGAAAGCATACATCTTCCACCAGCTACTTTGAGTAAGCAATTAGTAACTATAAATAGTACAACCAAGACTTAATATTCCCTAAAGATGTTAAATATGGATATAGCATGCTTAAAGTATCCAATTAAATTTGCAGGCTATGTTGTTCAGTTGGATTTAAGTATACCATGTAAACATAGTAAGCATTTTTAAATAACCCCATCTGTTATCTCTTTCCCCATATTAGATTATCTTCAGAATAGCAAGTAACAGATGCAGTGTTAACCCAGAATCATGTCACCCAGGTAGCCAAGTTAAAAGAACTAAAGCATTTACATTTTATATTGTCTGGCAAAAATACTGTAATCTAGAGACAAAAAAAATTAAGACTCTCTTGTGACCATATCTTTGTCCAGCTATGCTTGAAGGAGGACCGGAGACACTGGATGTGATTTGATTAGGCCCCAGCTTTATTCTTAACTGTCTGGGAGCACCCGGGAGACAAAAGTGAAGAGTTCAGTAATATATAAGTGAAGTAATTCCATGATCATTTTATATCCAGATACATATCCAGAGACTTTCAGCAGCTCTCTCCCTTACCCATCCTGGACTCCAGCCAACCCACTGATGAGACCTGACTCCCCACTCAAATGAAGGGTGGGGGTGGCTATAAAGGATGGAGGTGTCCCCTCGTGCCAGTCAAAGCAGTTCCAAACTCCCCATGTTTCCACTTCTTTAACAAATGCCTCCTTTGAATTTTTTACCAATCCATTTTATCTGATCACTGTATCCCATCCCTACAGAGTACCTACACTGGACTCTAACTCCCATTCCATGTTTCCCCAATTAAGCCCCCCAAACCTGCTGTGGGGAAGGCAAAAAAAACCCCATTTTGCCTTGGCCAATCTGGTGGTGAGGGAGAAATTCCACCCCAGCTCCCAAAGAAAGGAGCAAGTAGCACAATGCCCACAGAGGATCCTGACAACCTGGTATTTCACCACTTTCATGGATGGGAGTTGCTCCACCTGGCCGAGGTAAAAGATGGCTTTTCCTTCCCAGCAGGGACCTATATAGTGCCGCCTCTCTTCCGGTCAGCTGAGAGAGGGGGAGGGATGGGTCAACATCCACATGCTAGACTGTTTTGCAGCTGCCATATAAGTCACTCCATGCCTCTCTAACCCCTTAAAGAGGTACACACCTTCCTCTCAACAATGGACCCCTGCACCTCACTCAATGTGCAGTGTGTTCATTATTTTTACATATGTAGGGCCAATTTTACTCTCAGTTCCACCCATTCAAACTGACTGAAGTCTCCAGGGTAACTAAGGTATAACTAGGATAAATTCTGACCCATATTCTTCATGTGGTTGGATGACTTCTTGTACAGAATGAAAGGAATTTATCCACAAGAATTAATTAACTATATAATACTCGCATGTGGGCGAGGGATAAGAAAAAATGTGTTTGACCACCCCAAATAGATAAGCAGTTTCACACATACAGAATGGGAAGAGACTGTCTAGGAAGGAGTATGGCAGAAAGGGGTCTAGGGGTTATAGTGGACCACAAGCTAAATATGAGTCAACAGTGTGA